TTCTTATTCCTATTTAATAAATGAGGCTATTGAGGCAGCAAAGAGAGAGTGAATACCTTGTCCCAGATGACACCACTGAGAAGTGAAGATCAGGAATTTGAGTGTTGCAAGTCTGTCTCCAGGACCCATGCTCTTATCAACTCTACTGTCTATATATAATAGAAATATGTTCCTTCTCCATAAAGTTCACTATAAGCATTAAAACGGACTTTTTCAATTGGTTCTGAACATTCTGAACAATCACAGAAAAAAGTTTCTATGCCTCTCCTGTTTCCAGAAATGTATTAGAAGAGGTACATGAAGCAAAATGCTGGGTGTGAATGTTTTTGCAGGTTCATGCTCCAAAGAATAGAAAAGCAGAATAAACAATGGTGTTTTTAAACAATGAATGCAGTTTTCCTTTAGCCATAAGGATATTTTGAAACTTGACAAATCCATTCAGCTTTCAAAGCATTCCACATTCCCCACCCACAAGCAAATGCCAGAAGGTGCCTGTTTGAGCCAACTCAGAGCTCAGGAATGATTTTCTAAATATAGGATCAAATTTCTTAAATGTCCACACTCCAAAGATGGAAACCTGCCACTGTTCTAATTGGTCTGATGAAAACTGCTTAGCAATTTATCAAGCTATTAATTTAAAGACTATTTCAGCAATACATGAGATAGTGAGGCACAAGTGCAGAACAGAAAATGGTAGGGTATTATTACTTAGAAAAGACTGAAAATTACTGCCTTAAAGTCTTTGAAATTTTAGAGCTAGGTTGTACCTAAGCTCAATTTTAATAAAGGACTTTCTGGGAGAAAGAAATTCCTGATTACATAAAGAAAGCAATTTCCTTAATTTTCAGGAACTGACTCTTTTTGGAGTGAATAAAGGAAATAATGCTGGTATGCTCATTATATGTATTCAACTTCTGCCTTGTGCCTGGCACCATGCTAGGCACTGAGACACAAAAGTGAAAAGGATGTGGATGTTGTTCTCAAGCCTAGGGTGGAGGTGGAGGCAGAGAGGCAAAGGCATATTGTAATAGATGCAACAAAAGAACGTACTAGGAAGTGAGAGTGAGAAAGTGGAAAGTGAGGTTACAGGGTTGAACAGAAACTGTGTTGCAAGGATTTCAGACAGATGTGATCACTACATTTAATTTTATAAGGATCATGCTGCTATCCATGTGAAGAATGGGCTGTAAGGGGCAGACATCAAAGGCAGGATGAGTTCCACTCTTAAAAATCATCCCGCAGGAGGTTCCGGCCAAGAAGGAGGTGAGGTAGAAACCTTTTGCTTCCTCGCACAACCAAAAAGAGTATAACAACCTATCTAAAAACCATAAACAACCAGAAGTGCCAGAAAATCAAACTGCATGGAACTCTGACAACCAAGGAACTAAAGAAATAGTAAACCAGACCAACCAGACCGGTAGGAGGGAAACGAGAGGACAAGAGAACCCAAAGCAAGGCAGCAGACCAGACCGCCCAGCTAGTGGGCGTTAGCCGAGAGAATTGTCTGCAAGGTAGTGGACCGCGAGGGTGGCTCTGACCGAATAGGCAACTGAGACTCAGAGTTGACTGTGGACTACAGGGAGTGGGGATTGCAGTGCTGGGAGAGGCTCCCAGTCTCTCACAAGAGTTCATGGGAAAGTGGGGCTAGAGCCGAGCAGGCACACACTGTTGCTCCCTCTCTGGCCCCTCACCCACAGGCAGTGCCGCAGTGCAGCAAGAGGGTTGCCCTGCCCTGGTGAGTATCTAAGGCCGTGCCCACATACAACCTATCAGCTGCACTGAGACAAAGAAATAGGACCCAAATGAAAGAACAGAGCAAAACTCCAGAAAGAGAGCTAAGTGATGAGGAGACAGCCAACTTATCTGACGAAGAGTTTAAAGCCCTGTTAATCAGAATGCTCACAGAACTGACTGAGCTTGGTCAAAAAATGAAAAGAACAAATGAAGCTACCCGAAGTGAAATAAAGCAAAATATTCAGGAAACCAACAGCGACAAGAAGGAAACCAGGACTCAAAATCAACACTTTGGAACAAAAGGAAGAAATAAACAGTCAATCAGAACAGAATGGAGAAACAAGAATTCAAAAAAATGAAGAGAAGCTTAGGAACCTCTGGGACAAATTAAAACATTCCAATATCTGAATTATAGGGATTCCAGGAGAACAAGAGCAGAAAACTGAAAACTTATTTGAACAAATAATGAAGGAGAACTTCCCCAATCTGGTGAAGAAAATAGACTTCCAGGAAATCCAGGAAACCCAGAGTTCCAAAGAAGTTAGACCCAAAAAGGAACAGACCAAGGCCCATCATCATCAAGTTACCCACGATTAAAGATAGAGAATCTCAAAAGCAGCAAGAGGAAAGAAGACAGTTACCTACAAAGTAGTTCCCATAAGACTATCAGCTGATTTCTCAAAAATAACCTTACAGGCAAGAAGGGGCTGGAAAGAAGTATTCCAAGTCATGAAAGGCAAGGACCTCCACCGAAGATTGCTCTAACCAGCAAAGCTCTCATGTAGAATGGAAGGGCAGATAAAGTGCTTCCCAAATAAGGTCAAGTTAAAGGAGTTCATCATCACCAACCCCTTATTATATGAAATGTTAAAGGGACTTATCTAAGAAATTGAAGATCAAAAAATGTGAACAGTAAAATGACAACAAATTCACAACTATTAACAAACGAACCTGAAAAACCCCAAAACAATGAAAACAAAAACTAAGCCAACAACTAGAATAGGAACAGAATCAGGGAAATGGACGTCACATGGAGGGTTTTCAGTGGGGAGGGGGAGGGGAAGTATAGGGGGGAAAAGGTACAGGGAATAAGAAGCATAATTGGTAGGCATAAAATACATCATGAGAGGTTAAGTATGGTATAGGAAAAAGAGAAGTCAGAGGGGGATAAAGGGAGAAAAATTGGGAAAGCTAATAATTAATAAAATATACTTTAAAAAAATCATTCCACAGTACCAATTCCTTCTTTCTTGATCTCCAAGCCATTTCTCTGATTGCCCAACACCCAATCTAGAAATTAACTAATCTTTTAAAAGTGCTAGTTTCCAACTATTTTAGGTTTCCTTAGGTAACTGTTATTTGTTTCTAATTTAATTCCATGTGATCAGAGACTGTGTTCCTAAGTACAGAGACTGTATTTCACATAACTTGCATCCTTTTAGGTTCATCGAGACTTGTTTTATGGCTCAGAACATGGTCTGTCTTAGACAATGTTCTTTGTGCTCTTGAAAAGAACGTGTAATCTATTATAGTTAGGTACTGCTCTGTTCTACAAATGCCACATCAAGTTGGTTGAGTTTTATTCGAGTACTCTATATCCCTATTTTGTTTTCTTGTTCTACATTAATGGAGTGATATTCAAATATCTAAATATTAATTATAGATTTGTCTATTTCTCCTTACAGTTCTATGTTTTTGCTGCATGTATTTTTGAAGATGACGTTAGGTGAACAAGCACTTAGGACTGTTACAGCTTCTTGCTGAACATCAGCAAGATGGTTGGCATTATAAAATTATCTTTATCCATGGTAATAGTCTTTGCTCTGAAATCTACTGTCTGTTATTAACAAGATCGCCACTTTGGCTTTATTTAGATTAGTGTTAGAATGGTATACCTTTTCCTATCCTTTTACTTTTAATGTTTGTTCTGTATTTTTATGATGAGTTTCTTGTTCACAAAATATAACTGGATATATTTTTAATCTAATCTGATAAATTTTGCTTTTTCATTGGGATGTTTAGAATATTTAAACACCTTTAAATATAACTGTTTAAGCAAAAATATAAATAAAGCATGGAGCTTATAACACATGTAGAAGGAAAATGTGAAGTCACAAGGCATAGAGATGAGAAGGGAGAAATGTTACCTTAAGTATAAGATTCTTACACTAGGTTTCTAGTATAGGACAAGTGCTATATCACTTTGTTATAACCCTAAAGCAATCACTAAAATAACAAAGAGTTACATCTAATGAGCCAGCAAGAGATAAAATAGAAACATAAATTTTGGTTTCTTCTTTGACAGTCTTAGCTACGCAATAAGTCACTTCTTTTAAAGAAATCTTTCAACTCAACTATTTATGAATTTTTTTTCTGGTGTAAAAAATGTCAAATCTTATTTGTTTTCCAGATATCTGGAAGGAATAACTTCAGTTTAGGTTATATTAATATCATTATAGAAATTTTTAAAAAGTATCCAACAATTATCTTGAAATATTAATATATAGATTTAAAAAATCAGAATGCAATCCTAGGAATTAAGCAAAAAGATGTTTTGTAAAAAAAGAAAAAAAAACATCGTGAGATTCCAGTGTGGGGGTGGAAAAATAATTTTCCTTCTATCTTCTAAGTTCTTTTGGCTAGACTAATAACCAAATTAAGATGAGACAGATTAACATGAGAAAGTGACCAAATTTATTAGGCATGGACATATGGGGGTTCCATAAAAAACGAGATCCCAGAACACAGGCAGTTGAGGCTTGTACGCTATCTTGAGCTAAGGAGAAAGTGGGTAGGGTGGTGGCTTGGGGCTTTAAAGAGCAGGAAAACTCACATGAAGATGGGAAAGCAAATGTTTGTAAAGGTCTGCTGGGCCATCTTTAACTATGGGACACAGACCTGAATCAAAAGGGCCTTGCTAGGTTCCTCCTGGCTTACCACACTTAGTTCATATGAAACTGAGGTTCATTACAATGGTATCTCCCTCACTGGTGCAGGTTCTCTTAATTTTGGGGGGCAGTTAGGAGGATGGTCAAAGATTCTTTGAGTCTTTTGTTTCTTAAAAATATTCAGCTTAAATAATCAAGATCCCAAAAGGCCTGTTTTGACATGGCAAACTCTGTTTCCCATTACCAGTATTAAATAAAATTTTACATGTATTTTCCTATTTAAAAAAAAAGGTTATATTCCATATGACTGTTATGAACATGAAACCAGTCTTTCAATATCATAGCACTGTTTTTCTAAACAAGTAATCATAAGAGACAAAATTTCAAAGATATTTTATTCAAAATTCTCCTTATAGGAGAAAATACATGTAGCAGTATTTACACATGCTTTAATAACTTACTTCACTGTACAAATTGCATTCTGTATAACAATACAATAAACCAGCAAAAAAATATGTCCATACTTAAATAATCTATCATTAAAAACACACACACGAACACACACTGAGTACAGGGTACAAAGAGGTGGTATGTGTGTATCTTTTCATGCCTGAGCTATAGAGTGTCAGTCACCTAGTTCCGTGTAGGTGAAAATGAAGAGGTCTACATCTTTCTTGTTAGAGATGTGAAAGGCTATTAGGACCTTTGAGAACAGACATATTCTTGGGTAACTTTGGGTCAGGGCAGAGGAGCTCTATCACTTTTATCCCTTATAAATATTTTTCCCTTTTGTGTTACTTCCAGTCTTAGATTAAAAAAAAAACGTTATGTTCACATATACTACTACTATGTCAACACTGTTCTAGCACACAATTATGTTAATCAGTTATTTTATAGCCAGCAAAATGGTCCAAGCATATTAAGAAAACTTTGGCAGTTCTGCCAAAGTAACACCTAGTAAACAACATGTCAGTAAAGTTTCTCCTGCTATTCCTCCTATGTTGTAGGCAAAGACACGCAGCAACAACTATAAAAATATGTGCAGAAATATAAAAAAGATGTTATTCTCTATTCCTGAAAAGTGATAATTAGTATACTCTCTATTTAATAATCTTAGAGTTGCAATGATTGCCAAGTGAAGGTAAGACTCTACGAGAAGAAAATAAGATGACAATGACTGACTACTGAAATCCAAACTTCTTCCAAGTAATTATATTTTTCCAAGGGAACAAAAGACACAAGAGGTACACTTTTCCACTTGTCTCAAAAATAATGAAAATTAAGTTATATAGTTGTCAAGAACTACTAACACAAATCCAATTTCCTATCTATTTTTTTGACAGAGCTTAACAAACAAAAGCCATCCCAACTGAGGTTCATCACAATCAGGACTAAACACAATGACATTTCTATACAGACAGACTTGGAATGACTAAGTCTATAGAGTACGCTCTAATTACTAATTTTAACTAAACGTCTGCTAGAACGGTATTTTCTAACACTTACCCTAGGTTCAAGTTAACTTCCTGTATATGGAACTGAAATGAGTTAGATGCTCTAGTTTCCAGCTGACTGCAACCAAATACAGTTATTTCATATTCTGAGAAACACCAAAAATGGAAAGTCAACTAGTATTATGTCTGTGGAAGCTAACAAAAATTTCACTTTGATACATGTAAACCATGAAGCCTAAGTTTCACAAAACAGTAGTTGTGGTCAAGAGTCTATCCTATTATTACATCTTTCTAAAGATAGCAGTATTTATTATAATTGTAAACATAAGCCTGTATCCCGAGTGAGCACAAGAAGGAAAAGATCCATTCGTTGTTGACAATGCACCTGACAGCCCTTGCAGACTTCTTGTGACAACTGTAGTGTAACTAAGTGTAACTGCCACTGCTGGGTAGAACTCTGGGGTACGATCCCAGGAATCAATGTGTATCATCCCACTGAGCTCCTTTAGCAGCTATCATGACTGTGATGAAATATATTTAGTAAGTTACACATTTAAAAAGTCATTAGAACATCTCGTTCTTGTACACTAGTATAGAAAGGTCTTCCAAAGATAAAGGAGTGTAGGCCTGGTTTAATTTTCTCAGCTAGAGCCATTATTATGTTAAGATCGCCCTCTGCTGTTAAATCAAGGTCTATCTTCAGGTTCCGAAGAGATTTAAACGGCTTTTTCCCCTTCTGCCTACAAATAAAAAATAGGTACATGTAATATAGAAAATGTCCAAACGGAAGAAAACAAAACAAAATAATGTACAAAGGTTTGTCTTCCATACAGTTTTACTTACGTATCATCTTCTATATATTTTACTAGCGTCAAGGCTTTTCTGTGAAGGACAAGTAGGAACTGTGCAAGGAAAGTACTCCTGAGAGATAAACCAGGTTTCAAATGGAAGACCTACAGGAAAACAAAATATTTTAAAAAATATTTTGCTCTCATTCTACTTACAGCACATGTTTTAATCACAGCATTAACAGCACCTGGCAGGTAACACACATTAGAGGAGTTCCCCTCAATCATTTCTACTGGTGTCTCCTAATAGGCTGGAGTATGACATAAGTAACTAAGCCTGGAAAGAGACGGACAGTTCTACTTTATATTTAAAAGTTAGCATTTTGCATTCTTCCTAAGAATATATGCATATCTGTTTAATTAAAAATCACAATTACAAGTTACTCAAGTTTTTTTGCCCACATCTTCAAATGAAGTTCCCAGAAGCTGAGCCATGCGTAGACAATGATTGTGAGACATCCTCACCCCTCTAGTGCTCTTGCTCTGGGAGGGAGGAGGGGACGTGGGAGAGGGTGCAGGCTTAGCGGTAGAAGGGTTTTATTTCAGATTGAGAAGCACGGAATTACGTGACTACCTATTATCCTTGAACTTTGAAATATAACAGACCACACAGCCCTGGATGTTGACTATGTGCTAACCACTGTATCAATACTTTATTCACTCATCATATTGTACATACAAGATCTTTGAAAGGGGCAAATTCCTGTTTGTGAAAAACTTTGGACACCTAAAAGTTGCTGAGCTGGACAGAGCTCAAATCCAGGCTAGAATCCCTTGTCCACCAAAACATAAACCACAGGCTGTGTTCACGTATTTTAATGTCCTTATTCACTATAAATATTATTAAGAAGCCCCCCTTCAAAAAAAATTCGAGTTAACCTAAGGAACTCATTATTCAGAGCCACATCTATGACAATGTTTCTGGACCTCAGTCTCAGAATACTATGACAAAGCTCTATTATATTAAGAAATAAGTCCCATATAATCTATAATTTTCTTCAAATTAAGCAGTTTTTTTCCAAAAGGAGGCAATTAAGATGCTATCACAGAGGTATAAGATTTAAAGTCATTTTTGACTCAATTAAGGCAATAAAAAACATTTATTCACACTCTCCCTTCATTCTCCCCAAAAGAAAACACTGTAAGTTACAGGTCAGTGCTCAGAATTAAAACATTTATTATTTGAACTGGGGAATGATACATCTTTAATTGTTAATATTTAGATGATTACTCATTAACAACTCAAAAGAAAAACCATTTAGACACTTTAAGACCAGAGACACTACAAAAACATAATGACTTGGTTCTATGATGTTATATACATAGAGTACAGCCATTGTAGGATATATTTAAAAAACAAACAAACACATCAATCATATCATTCACTCCAAAAATCTCAGGTTTAACATTTACCTGATCCAGGAAGGCTTTTACTAGCGTGTCTCTGTGTAAGACATCTTGAAAAATATTCCTGTGAAGAAAATAGTCCAAATGTTGAAATGGCTGCACAATGCTACTTTCCATTCGTTTCCATAATCCTATACTCTAATCAATAAATTAATTTTTTGAAATGGAATATTATATAATCATTTTAAATAAAAATCAGATGTATGTATTTGAAGATATAAAATATATATTTATTTCAACTCAAGACCTTTGTTTATTACTGTAGTTTATCAGACCACTACGTCATCATTTTCCTCTTAAAGACACAAGCAGTCCCAAGATTGATATATAATATCTATCAACTTATTTTAGTACCCTCAGCTTACAAAAAAATGTTGAGAGCCAATTCCTGACATCTCGAAAATAAAACAGCGATAAAAATAGACATACACTACTAACACCAAAAGCCAGAACAAAATAAAAGGATAAACTTTTGTACAATAACTTCTAGAGAACATTTTAAGATGAAAAGAGATAAAAGGACAAATGCTAAGAATCACTTGAGTGGGAATAAGGAACACAGCTAGATGGCTATCTGGATATGGCAACCCCTGGGTTCTGCATCAACAAGCACATCATCTTGGCAAGTAACATGAACCAGCTAGCATTCTAGGAAAGTATTACCTACCGTGACAACGAGAGAAAGAAGTTAAGATGTAATGCACACCTGAGAGAATGTGGATCTAACATACCACCTAGGATATAGTAGGTGCTTATAAAAAAGAACGCTCTTTTCCCAGGTCCCTTTGAGCTTTTCTCTCCTTCCTCTCCTCTCTTTGCCTTCTACTTCCCTAAAGAATTTCCTGAGATGCTAGGTTATACTCAAGTCAAAGGGGTAATGTAACATTTACTAAGATAAGCAATTTTTAACTGGAAGTAGTGGCTGAGAGGAGTGGCAGGAAAGAGCTGCATGCAGAGGTAAGTAGGAAAGTACCTAAATTTCTTAGTTCTATGAGAAGGGTTTACCAAACAACAGAAGGAAACCCAAAGGCAGCGGGGAGGACGTGGAAACCAGCATTTCATGATTACTAGGTGTCCAATCAATATGGACACTGACAGCAGCCTCCTCTGGCTTTGGAGAGAGAATAAGACTATTCATTTAAGTCCACTGTTCTGAGCATACCTGTTTCACACAGTACCTTGGGCACAGTAATCAGATGAAGCAAAGTGTTTAAAAATATTTCCAACTGATTTTTCATTTGTTATTGGCAGTGACTGAAATTATTTTTTAATTAAAAAGTATCTTAAAAATAAATATTGTTTAAAATAACTAAAAAGTAAAATATCTCTAAAAAATGTAAAATTTAACAATATACAATCTAGTGTCTAAAAATATATTTGGACAGTTTTATGATAAAAAATTTACTTAGAGCTAGCAAAACATTTTATTGTAATATTATTTTGTTATGATTAGCAAAACGAGAATAGCTGGCTGATCATAGTTTGTCAAATCAGTGAAGCCAACATAACTGGTTAAAATGAGTAAGAAATGTTAAAGTATACACATATATTCCCCCCCAAAAAAACTAGAGGATTGTAAACCCATTTTAAAGTTCAACAAATTCCCCCAAAATAGCTCTGAAGCACCTAAAAAAAAGAAAACAAACACTAAATACTTTAGGAAAGAAGAAAATATTTGAAGGAACAGATTAATTCTGAGAATTTCTACATATGTACCAACATTAACAATACTGTATATGAAAACTTTGTGACCTGGAATTCTATTCGACCAATTCACATTCTAAACCAATTTCCCTAAAGCTTTCTAAGGAATCAACACGAACACTGGCGAGGCGGGGAAAGAAGGGTTCTAATGAAGTCACCTTCTGCACTGAATATGAGGCTAGGGATGCCTTGGACATGGCGTTCATTCCTTTTCTATGTTTTCAGTCAACACCCTCTGTGTGGCTACTTGGGGCTCCCCATGTCTGTTGCCTCGGCTCACAACTTTTGTCAGAAACACAAGCTGCTTACTCCAATTGTCCTGCTCACTTGTATACTCAAACCTGTATTATTCTAGTTAACATTCATTGAGCACATTCTATGTGCCAGGCACTTTAAATTATTTAGGGAGAGTCATCACAGCATACTACAAATGTTTTCCTGATTTCGGAACATCCTGTAACTGTTTTCTTAAAGTTTTATAATTCAGATTTATCATTTTTTTTCCCTAATTGGGTCCACATTGAATATTTTATCATCATTACTTTTATTTTTTAAATTTACTGATCAGACTTTATGGTAAGGAATGAATACCACGGTATAAAATGCAAAGTAAAAGAATGCTGTATTAATATTTTTAACAGTTTTGTTGTATTTTATAGTCATATATCAAGAAGGAAAAGACTCAAAATTACTCTTTGGTTTACTCAATACACTTTAAAAAAATCTTTTATTTATTCAGTGTGAGAGAGAAAAACATCGATCTGTTGTCTCACTTATTTATGCATTCATTTGGCTCATTCTTTTATGTTCCCTGACCAGAGATCAAACCTGAAATCCTGGTGTATCATGACGATACTCTAATCAACTGAGCTACCAGGCCAGGGCCTGAATACGACTTTCAGTGACTCATATACATTAGGCTACAAGCAATGTCAGAGCTGGGCTATCTGCCCACTACTGACCTTAGTACCTAGTACTGTGTCTAGGAGCTCAATATATATTTGGTAAATAAATATTTAAATATTTATTTTTAAGAACTAATCTATCTTATGGGAAACACAATTATAGTAAGAAAACAGACATTCAAGAAAAAAAACACTTGACTAACCAAATTATTTCTTCAAACATAATTCTCCTAGAATGTTTCTTTCTTTTTAAACACAGACCCATTTGTTTTGTTCGTACTCATAAAAGATACAATTTCATAATATTGCTTAATGACAATATCAAAAGGCAGGGCATTACTTACAAATCAGGAGTGAAGTTTTCGTCTGTGTAGATGAAAGAATCCTGAGCCATGTCTTCTTCTGAAGTGGCTCTCCAGAAGGCTGTCAGCTCTGACCTCATGTATCTACGCTGATTATAAATGTGTTCATGACAGGGTGGCATCTGCTTGACGGTGTTCACATCCACATCTATGTGTGTGCTGGGATAGGGGGCATACATAACTTGCCGAAAAGGTAGCACAAAGCTTCCAGTGGAATCCTGTGATATTGAAAGAAAAACCGTCTTATATGCCAAAAGATATAAAGACTTCTTTTTTATCCTCATCTGAGGACATTTTTTCATTGCTTTTATAAAGGACAGGAGAGAAACATTGATGTGGGAGAGAAATATCAACTGGTTGCCTCCCACATGCACCTGGACTGAGGACCTGACTTACGTATGTGCCCTGATTAAGTTTTGAAGCCACAACCTTTTGGTTATGGGAGGACCCTACAACCAACTGAATCATGCCGACCAGGGCAAGAATTATTTTTTAAATTAAAAAAAAACTGCCTTTGATTTACCAAATCCATCTCTAGGAATTTACACTTGGTTATTAATCATGATTGTGTGGAAAATTTTGATGGCAGAAACAACCTAAGCATCCAAAAAGCGATTAAAATTAAACTACTCAAGCTTATGTGTTAATTTTGAAAGATATTCACAATATATTATGAACAAAGCAGTTTAGAACATGCTTTGTTCTATATTCTTTGTTTAGAATATAATAAAATATATTTTTCAATGGGGAGAGATGTGGAAAAAAAACATACAGAAGAAAAAAAGAACAAAAAGATACATGCCAAGTATTAATAGTGGTTATTTAATGGATTGTGAGATTACAAGTAACATTTTCTTCCTCCTGACTATTCATGTGCTCTTTCAAATTTCAACACATGTACTTTTATAATAAGTAAAAACTGCACTTCTCTCTAGGTGTAGTCAGTGGGGTTGCCGTGGAACAAGGGTACATTGTGTATAAAGCACTGTGATATGACTGAAGAGAACAGAAGACAAAGGCTGTTTTCACTCTTACAATGCTGTGATGATCATCTTTCTAAGTTAATATTCTGCATATATAATTGCTTCCTTAGGATGAATTTCCAGAGGTAGAAATAGCAATTTAAATCTTTAAACATCTGTAAGGCTCTTGATATACAATATCAAAGCATTTCTGAAAGGCTATAGAATTTAAAATTGCATGGAAAATTCTTAACATATTATCATTGAATCATAGTTTTAAATTTTCCTCTATGCATCTAGTATAAGGCCTTTCAAGGATAAAGTCATATAATTAAATGAGAGGTTGCTGAGGAAATAAAAGTACTAAGTACCTTATGCCTTTGCTAGGAAGAAGTTCTAATTTTCAGATTTGTATAATTCAAATTAGAAATGATTTCTGGCCCTGGCTGGTTTGCCTCAGTGGATTAAGCACCATCCTGCAGACTGAGCAGTTGCTGGTTCAATTCCCAGGCACAGCACATGCCTGCGTTGTGGGCCACATCCCCAGTGGGGGGCATGTGAGAGACAACTGATCAATATTCCTCTTGTACATCAATGTTTCTTTCCCTTTCTCCCTCCTTCCTCCTCTAAAAATGAATAAAGTATTTTTAAAAAAGAAATGATTTCCCTTAAAGAATTTTGGTATATAAATATTAATATTTTGAGCTCACAGAATGCACATTATTGAAAATGCAAAAGCTGCCCTGGCTAGTGTAGCAGCTTAGTGTATTGAGCATGGGCCTGTGAACCAAAGGGTTGCCAGTTCGATTCCCCTTAAAGAGTTCAGGGCATATGCCTGGGTTGCAGGCCAGAACTCCAGTTGGGGGCGCATGAGAGGCAACCACACATTGATGTGTCTCTCTTTCTCTTGTTCCCTCCCTCTTCTCTGTCTAAAAATAAATAAATAAAATCTCTTAAAAAATTAAAAAGGAAAAAAAGTGCAAAAGCTGAATAAAATTTTTATTTGCAACACTTTTCAATATTTTTCTTTCATTTTGTTATATTTACATCCTCAAGAAAGCATTCACTATGACAGGAACACATAAGCAGCAGGAAATCTACATCTTCGTGTGTTTGATTATAATCAAAATAATAATAGATGCAATAAAGTGAATAATTATCTTCCCCATACTTATTAAAAGTAATGGCAATTTACATTTATGTTTTGTTCCTTCAAAAGTAAACTTAAGCAAACAAAACAAAAATGTAAAATAACTTTTCTAATACATACACACAGGATTGATTAAATCTCACATACTTTTTCTAGTTAGAAAGCGGCTTAATTTTTCAATAAATGTGTATGGCACATAAACATATAATGGTAACACAAAAATGCAAATCTGTTGAGTAAAATAGAAATGTTCCTATTTCAGGTATGCAAACAAATTCAAGCACATATTAAAAGGAAATAACAAGGCCAGATAGACAGCTACAGGAAACCAAAGAGAAACACAAAGAAAGATATTTCTGTGATATTTCACAGATACTAACTAAAAATCCGTAAGGCATATCACTCTGTGCTCAGATCTGTGTAAAGTAAGTCGGCCCCTTGGCACATAAGCATGAGAAAAATTTAATACTAATGTTCAAAATACACTTACAAAAAGTCTCAAAAATTGGTTTCACCTGTGACAAATGTACACTATACCTTTAGCAGGCCCTGGACAAAGAGCCCTGACTCATATTTAAATGATGATTCTGCATCACATAATCTGGAGCATTTTCTCTCTGCTGGAGTCAGAAAAAGGCATAATGTTTTTACTATCTGTAAAAGAAAAGATTTTAGCATTAAAATATAATGTAAAAATATTATTGGTTTGTTTTATGAAAGAAATTGTAATAGAAATTTTAATTATTTTTGCCAATAAAATACATCCTGAGAAATAAGTATTCCTTAGTCACCCAGAATAGTCCATAGGCTTTAACAGTTGTGGGTAAGAGAGAAATTCTATGGTTAAATAAGTTTGCAAAATGTTGGTAAGTTTACAGTGTAGTGTATCTCAAAACTTTTAACATTCGAATACATGTTGTGACTCTGCAGTTGAGTGATCTAAAGTTACTTGACCAAGGGGTCCTTATTTCAGCAGGAAGTAATGACCTGGTAGAGTTCCTGACTTGTAGCTTCATCTAGCAGCAAGTGCTTCTCAAACAAACAATTCGGGACAAGAAAATTAAATGCAGTAAAATTAGACAGAATTATGGCATTTAATAGTTCTATATGTGAAATCCCATATTCATATCAAGAATTGTCCAAATCTTTGAAGAGAACATGAATTAATTCCATCATATTCTATTTAAAATAAGTGAGCCACTGTTTGGGGCTTAGAAAACTGTGGTTCTAATAGAATTTGATCTATGGATTTATTAAGGAAACAAAAAAGCCATTGAAAGGGAGCAGAATTTGTCACCCCAAATATGCCTTTTTGACATATGATTATTTTAGGCTGATTATTTTTAAGAAACAGCAGACCTGGGGGAAACCCTGCAAGGGTTTGTAAGACACATTTACATTTATAAAGGAAATCTCCATCAAGAGAAGAACAACATTATCTCTAGAAAGCTTATCAATTGAGACGCAAGGCCTGCCTAATTGTTCCCTTACCCTGTAATTCCCTATCAAAATCTCCTTTGGTCATTAGCTGAAGATTATGTTTTAGGTAAAAGCTTGTGCTGTTTTGGGGGGCACTCAGTTTTCGTGCATAACCCCCACATACACAGCAGGTATACATGTTATTAAACTTGTTTTTCTCCTGTTAATTAATCTGCCTAATTACAAGGGGGTCTCAGCCAAAAACCTAGAAAGAGAGGGAACATTAACTCTCCCCTTCTACACCATGTAACTGTGTTGGAATTCAGACTATATTTAGAGGTTTTATATTAAAGCAGTGGTTTACAATCTAGACCAGTGGCAACCTTTTTCTCAAATTAATAAGGACCAAGTGATACGGGACTCAAGAGTTGGAAAATTTTAGTTTACGGTAAAAAATTATAAACGTAGCAAGTAATGTATATGTTAAAGGTTTTGTTTAAGAAACTACAGATAGATAAGACCCATCTTGGCTTCTGGGAAAAGAGCCGACCTCCTGAGGTACCGCTAAGATTACCGCCTGGGGACAAGTGAAGGCATCCGGGCCTTTGTATTTCAGGGAGGGACAGATGACCACCCTCCCCTGGGAACAGCTAACTGACTAGGACTGGAATGTTGCAGTTTCTTCTACCCAATCCTTCCTGAATTTCAAAACCCTTCACCACACCTTGTTTACTCCCTGTTATAAAAAATCTGGCCTAGAAAGAGAGGACAAGATGGTCTGTTAGGGTATGAACCCGCCATCTTCTCAGATCGCCAGCCATCTAAATAAAGTGTCTATAAAGATTCAATCCCTGTCCTTGCTTATTGGGTTTCGTAGTGACAGGCAGCCTGAACGCCGATGATGTCTTTTCTGGTTTCAAAAGGGAAGCTATTAAGCCAGAAGACAATGTGGGATGAGAAAAATGTTTTAAAAACACACAGTCCCTACCACAGAGTATCTCTTCCTCAAGAAGTAACGAAGAAGTCTCTCTGTGAAACTGGAAGACTTTGGGGGATGCAGACAGAAAGCTGCTTTCTTGGATTAACAGAAATAACATCATTAATCACTAGATGCAGCATAATAATAGAAGTAAACTTATACACAAATGGTTGTATTAGAAATATAATTTTGGTAAATTAAGGCTCATGTAAATATACAGGGTAGCTTATTACAGAAAAAAGGGAAAATACTTGTCAAGCAAATAATCATTCCTAATATATCTCTTTATGTAAAACTTAAAAAAATAGAGGTTTACTTAAATTGCTAGATATGTATACTTATCGTTCTAATTAATGATCAGTGAAGAAAAGAGCAAAATCCCTTAAGTTTGTTGCCTATTGCTTCAAAAGTTTAACTGCTCATTAATTCTTTACTAACTCATGTAGCATGAAGGAAGTGGTCACAAACATCACTGAATAAAATATAACCTCCACTGACCACTTACTGTAAATAGGTCCCAAACAGGGACAGATTTAGGGGGAAAAAACAAGAAAATGAAATCACAGTGATCAGATAAAATTTCATTGGAATTTGGATGAAAAGTACATAGCCACCTTCGTATTTATTAAAGGTAACATCAATAAATAAAAGATGATTTAAAAATATATCTAATTTTAAAATAGTCTCAAAAACATTTATAAAATACTGAGACCAGTATTTATTAATTATCAAAATGTAACAGATAACTGACTTTCTATTCAGTTTATTCTGAACTTCTTTTTGCTTAGGGTGTCATAGTAATTTGGTCAGATTATATTGCCTCCTTACACTATTAGTTCATTGTGACCGAGACCTGACTTTTAAATTACAATCCATGACGTGTTAGCAGTATTCAAAAATCAGATTATTTGCTGGGTTACAAAATAAATTACCTTATTTACTTTCTCTGCACTGCTACCTACTACGACAGAACAGCCACAGGTTTGCAGGTGTGAGCTAATGGCACTGTGAATTGAAGAAAAAAAATTAAAACAATTTTACAAACTTAAAAAAAAATGGCAAGTGAGCTTCAGATAATTTAGAATAACTTTACATGAAGAGCATCAAAGCTACAAAAGTATAATATCACCTTTATTTTACATGCCTTTCACAGATATTCTCTCATTTGAACCTTAAAACCATCCATTTAGTAAAAATATCACCATTTTATACAGGAAGAAACAGCAGTGTTGAGAGAGATTAGGTGATTTACGCAAAGCCGAAGAGGATTAAAAAATAATGCTAAGAGTGGCTGATGCTGAACAGAATCAGGACTAATGAGCTTCTGACTGAAGCCATTTAAGGCTTCCAGGGTAGCCACAGCCTTGCCTCTCCAGTTCCCTCATACACCCAAAGGGAAGTGACTGTGGGGCAAAATAGCACAAGCCTTATTCTTTCACTCGTTTTAAAAAATAAAATTTCATTGTAACCTGCAATTGTAAAGAAACACTAAAGCAGAGTATGAAACTCTAAATGTAGAGACAGCACTTAGATTGGGGACTTAACATGTAGGCACTCAACAAATACTGGCTATTATTATTTTTCTTAGAAGAAATACAAATAGCAAATGTTAGCTATTAGCTACTGTTATGTGCCAGGCACTATTTTAAATTTGATTTACTTCATTCAACACTTAGAACAATCCCATAAAGGAAATACTATTTTTTATTCCCATTTTACAGATGAGGAAATGGAGGCACACAAAGATCAGGTAGCTTGTCTGGGGTTACACAGCAGTAACCCAGCAAATCTGGTTTTAGGACCCACACCTTTAAGTACTAAAGTCTACTGTATGATGGAGTGGATCAGGACAAATAGAAATAATTTTCTTTTCTAGTCCCAAATAACTCAATGTATTCACAATGCAACTTATTTTGAAAGAATTCTTAGTTTCAGCTTTAATGAGAAGTAAAACAAGAAACCAGAACCAAACAAGAGACCAAGATCTCTTATCTGGGTGCTGTGGAAGCTCAGCTTCTTTAAATATTAAAAAAAAAAAAGAGTAACCTCAAATACATCACAATATGTAATAAATGAAAAAATAACACAAAGCTAAGCAATGGTTCAACTGTGCAATGTTTTCCCTAGAATCATGTGCAGTAGCCATTGACTTCTTTTCATATCCTGTCACAGGTGAGCATAAGATTTGTATCTGCTTCTTTCAGCTTTTATGAAAAGAAAAAAAATTCTTACTTGAGAAGAAAGCCTTCATGACAACTATCACCGATATCATCATCATTGAGAACTGTATCAGCAATCTAAAATGTACCAAAAAAATTATGCTGGCATAACATAATATTGAAAAACCATTTTAATACACAAGTTTCCTGAAATCTAGGTTCAGTGTAACACTTTGCCCTCATTTCTAAGCATCAAGAATCCCCATAAAACAATCTCTGCATAAGCTTTTAGAAAAACAAATGCAAAGGCTCGTCAGGCAGGTTAAGCAACAATTTTTACGAGAACAACTTCCTCTTCTGAGCTGTCAGAATCCGGAGGCAAATCTTAATGACAAAAAAGGCAGAAAGCAACAAGAGCAGTTTCCCAAAGACTTCTCCATGCTTGCATAGTGTGTGACTGAAAATGTTCTCAACAAATGGTGAGGGAAAACTATGTTAGTGAATATGAATAAACTTCCATTTGTATACTGTTTTGTTACCAAAAGTACTGAATTAAAACACTGATTACTTCTATAAGGTCAGAAATTCTCCCAATTTTAAGAAATATAAAAGAGGCCAAGTAAATCTTAATGTGATCATAATTATCACTGACCAAAAAGCCTCTATAGTTGTGTTTTTGTTAAAGTGCCTAATACTTCATACAAATAGTATATATGACAAAAAATGCATACTACTAAAATGAGAATACTAGTAATATACATAAGAGTAATTTAACTCAAAAAATTGATAAAGCATACCACTGTCCCTATTTAATTAAATAAAAACTTACATCTATTTCTTCAGGAACACTGTGTGATTTCATAGATGAAAGCAGCTCCATTACAGGAATTACTTCTCCAGTAAGCATTGGAATAATACTCTGACCCTGCACAAAAAAAAGGAAAGTGAGCTGAAGAAAAAAACATTAAGTTGGACCATAAAAAGTTAAATAATGAAAGCAAAGAATAATGACCTTTGACAGGAATATTGATCATTTGTTCAAATACAGCTCCAAACAAGTCTACTACTCCAAAATATTTCTAAAGGATTTACATGCTGTTGAAAACTTATTTTTCTTCTTCTGGAAATAATTTTCTTTAGTCAGAAGCATTGGTTTATCATTTACTGTTCAATGCAATAATTAAATTATCATGCCAAATTTAGAAAGGATCTCTTTTTGAAATGTCTTAAATGTCTTATAAGATATATCTTATTAATTAAAGGTCATCAATGTGTTTTATATTTAAAAATGAGGAAAGCGAAGGATAAGACTCTGAAATCCTCAACAGTTAACACAGTAGTAAAGTGTGAATCAATATTGAACCTCCACGTTCATAATGAGCTTTAATTTACTCAAATGCAAACCAAAATCACCACTTACGTATATTTTAATAATTAATAAAACAAAAGTTTCCCTTAGAGTTCTTTTAAAAGAATACTTCTATTTTTTTAATAAATTCTCCCCTCAGGATGTTCATTAATTTTAGAGGAGGGGCGAAAGGGAGAGAGGGAGAGGGAAAGAGAGTAAAAGAGAAATAGAGAAAGAAACACCGATGAAAAAGAGAAACTCTGATGGGAGAGAGAGACATCGACTGGCTGCCTCCCACACACAGCCTACTGAGGACAGAACCTGCAACCCAGGTAAGTGCCTCGACTGGGAATTGAACCCATACCACTTTGGAACAGGATGATGCTCCAACCAAGCCACACCAGCCAAGGCTTTAAAATAATTTTTAAATGCTTGTTTACAATTACAATCGATAACACTGAGAATCAACAAGAATGGTGATTGAAGCTATTGCATCTGCTTCCTTATACAGCAATTTTATCAGCTGCCACCTCTAAGCATCCAGAGTGAGCACTGACTGAAGTTCTGTCATCCCCAAATAGTATTCACTGTCCAAAATGAAGTCACTGAAAGCGCATCATGTGAGATTTGCAAGGACTCAATCATCAGGCAACTCCTTTTCAGAAAGGATAATTGTGAGAAAATATCTTCCCTTAGGTTTAGGCAATATACAGTAGTTCATACACATATCTGATATTTATCATCAAAAACAAATGAATATTCTTATTGAAACTTAACAAAAAAATCCTACAAGGCTGAACATAGAAAGGCTGTAAAAAAATTCCTTAAGTTTCCTTTTTTCCTCAAACTTCTCTAACTTGTACTTCTTTTTTTAATTTTTATTTAGTTATTTTTCAAGCAGTTTTCTGTTTCTCCCATTCCAGCCCGCCCCTCCCCCATGTTCCCCACCTCCCTCCCATTTCCACCCCCCTTAGTTATTGTCCCTGTGTCCTTTATACTTGTTCCTCTAACTTGTACTTCTGAGGAGCATGTTTCCCCTCTAAGAACCTAGCTTGTCCCAAGCATACTTTCCTCATGACATAGAAGGGGTAGGACATCTTCCAGAGCCCTTAAAAGAAAGACAGAATTCATGAACAGTGGTAACTTTGTGAGGACAAGCTTCTGGTTTGAAAAACACCCCAGTAAAAGCAGAATTTTGTTGGGTCCTAAATTTCCTTATCTTGCAATAACTCTTATTAGTTCATAAGCAGAGATTGGCAAAAGTCAACCCATTCTTTGAGACCTTGCTTAATGAGCAACAAGCAAAGGTTGGGCTTCCCTGGGTAAAGGAAAATATTTTCTTATAAGTCTCAGACCTTTCCCCAAAATTACTTTCTTTGTCCTGGAAAGTTACTTACAAAAGTAGAGACATAAAAAAATATTACAAAGGAGGTCATTTTACAGGGTTTGTATATTCCTTTGTTAATACCCCTGTATTTCACAAACTTTTAGAAAAGTTTTTGTTTAAAGTAGCATTCTGTCTCAGGCATGGTGAAGAGAACCAGAGAAAAGGCAATCTAGCCTTGACGTTTATACTGCAGTTTCAACAGGAACAAAGAAGGTGGCAGGGATGGGGGTGGGGGAGGGCAATAGGAGTAAAAGCAAATAACCCTTCCTCCATTGGAGCATCCCCTTCAGAAGAACTTCTCTGTCTTATGCTGAAATGGTTTGTACTTCATTTCCACAATGGAAGCCCAATCTTTGCAATTGTGCTTTTCAAACTCTGGTGCCTGCTCCCTAAGGGTATTCAAAGTCATGAGATAAACACAGCACGGTTTCCTAGGAACTTGATATTACTAGTAGTCTTGATCAGTACCAAGGTGAGGAGTATCACTGGCAAATTATAATGAAAACAAACAGATATATCATAGAATAAAATGTAAATTGCATGCATTTTAAAGATAAAATTTCAAAGATATACTATGCCTAGAGTTGTGCCTACAACTATAGATCCCTTTGGAGTCCTCACTTTCCTCCTGTTACAACTGCTTTTGTGCAAATGTTTAAGAAACTGCTTTAAAGAAAATCTCACATACAAATTTTAATTCTGACTATAAACATTACTCAAAACTTACTCTGTGCATACAGAAAAAAGGTAGCAAAATATTAATCAGTAGGTGCAATTACCATTAGATTTTACATTTAACTATTCAGGTCTAAGATAAGATACTCAAGTTTTTATCCAGTTTATTCCATAATTCTCCACAAAGGCTCTGCTGACTTTCGGGCTCCGTCAAAGCAATACGGCTCCAAGGCCCTACACAAGTGGCCCTGAACCTCGCACAGACACATGCTGTATGCTAGTAGTGCCTGACAGTATGCAATAGCCACCTTACCTGATCTTCCATTCTCTCTGTGCCTTCTAACACTATCTTCTCAACATTCTCTTGCCTTTCCTGAGCAAGAGAAAATTCATTAAAATAATTTAAATAAATAATATTTGATGTTTATTTATTTTTTACAATAAAGTTAAATAGCAGCCATGTTCATGTGTAATTTAGTTCATGGGAAAAATACTTTCCACTTCAGGGTAGGAAAAAGGGGGTGAGAAAATTAACCAAACAAATCCATGCTCTCCTAGACAATATAAAATAAAACCACCACCCCCCTTTTTTGCAGTTAAAAACTTAATTTAGCAGAAAATAGTCAATGAACTATATGTATAGTTTCACAATAATGGATTTCCATTTTTCAAATTCACTAAGATCATGTTGAACCTAGAGAATATGGAGCTTCCTGATTTTAAATGATTTTCATATGCATGTGAAAATTAAGGAGGCTAGCCTGCAAAAATGGTAAGAAACTACTTTAAAAGATACTATTTTTCTTTATTATCTAATAAAAGCCTCATAAAATTAACAACTGTTTAATGGATTTCTATATTAGTATCAAACTGCAAAGCAGAAAGGAGAAATGAATTTGTTCTTCAGTTCTGCCAAAAGTACATGGAAATATTAGTATTGATATATTTTAAACTATAGGATTTAGGGAATAACAACAATTTCTTCTGCAATAGGAATGAAATCAATAGAAGTACTTATGATATGAAAATGATATGAAAGGAGTACTTCCTAAAAACCATTTGGTCCAATCTCCTCGTTTTGCCAATGTGGGAACTTGGCACAATTAAAGGGATCAAAAGCTTCATGGCTGACTGCTTATAAAACAACTCTTTTCAAACACTTTCACCCACACACAGCAGTGAGTGAAACAGTTGAGCAATGCTGCCCCCCCCAAAAGCTTTTATAGTCAAAGGATCCCAAGACAAATATGGACTTTAAAACTTACATTCCCTATTTACTCTAACCTTTAGTGTTTTATTTGTATTGTGGAGCTATCATCTCCTTCCTTCTAGGATCACTATATTACAGACATCAAACTAGATCTTTCTGTGTCTAATAGGGTAGATGCAAACAAGAGCTACTGACTGAAATTAACTGTGTATTATCCCTAACAAATTAGATATACATATGTCAGAAGACAAACTTTCAATGGCTAAGTTAACCTGATTAATAAGCTCAAAACCACTCACCTTATGCATCCATATTCTTCCTTTCCGGATAATGTGTGTTAATCTATCAACACACACTCTGTGAAGTGGGAGGTAGAAGCTAAGTTCTGTCTGTGGAAGTATAATTGATAGTCCATATGTGCTCCTATCCCCATTCCAGTTTCCATCAAAGATTAATGAAACAATAATTACTCCCTTTTCAGACAAGACAAAAAACTTGACATCTATAGCCCCACTCTCTGCATTTCGAAGGATTTCTCCATTTAGGGTGTGGTTGGCAAGAAAAGTTATTTCTCCATCGCTGAGAAGTACCTGTTCTGTCTTCGGAGCCCAAATGTGTCTTACTCTAGGACCAAGAATATTGTCCCAGTACGCAAAGGTAGCTGCTAATAAAGGTGATTCACCACTTAAAGCAATCTCTGTCTTGGCAACAGCTGGAGATGGTGGAGGACAGAGAGCCGACATCACTATGTCCCAACTGTCACATTATCCGAATGCTCCAGGGATATCTAAACAAGGACATATGAAATCAATAATTAGGTTCAACAATTTTAAACCCATCCATCAAAAACCAAAATAATTTTGGCACCTGTGGTTTTCTCCTCTTCAGTCAAAAAAGATTTGGAACCATGTCTCCAGCCAGGATAGAAACATTCAACTAGCATTGGGGGTACACAGTGAGTGTTTGCTGATAAAATTTTATGATGCACAGTAACTTGTCACTAAGTGTCTAAGTATATTGAGAAATATACTTAGAAATCCAAAATACAATGAACTAAAAAGAGCCTATTAACATTCAGAGGAAATAATTATAAACTAAAGCTTATCAAATAGATCCTCACTGTTCCCAAATATCCAGTCTACAAGCAATTCTAATATAATGGAATATTTGGTTCCTAAAGCATATCAACTAAATGAGGAAGGGAAGGGCTCAGTTAGAGACACTGATGCTTATTGGGGGTTGAACTGTCTATCTCCACCAAAATCTGTTCAAGTCCTAATCTCCAGTATCTGCAAATGTGGCCTTATTTGAAAATAGGCATAATCAAGTTAAAATGGGATCATATGGATTAGGGAGAGTCCTAATCCAATGTCTGGTGTCCTTATAAAAAGAGAAAGATTTGAAGATACAGACTTGGAGGGTATAGGGCGTTGTAAAGTTGGAGACAGAAATGAAAGTGATGCAGATACAAAGCAAAGAGTGCCAGGACTGCTGATGGCCAGAAGCAGCCAAGTGGAGGCAAGGAAGGATTCTTCCCTCCTGCCTTCAGAGGAGCAGGTCCCTGTTGACACCTTATTTCAGACTCCTATTTTCTAGACTTTGAGAGAATATATTTTTGTGTATTTTGTTATGGCAGTTCTACAAAACTAGCAAAACAACTGTCAGCAGGAATACCGTAAAAGCTACTAAAAGGGAAAAAATTGCCAAAACTCAGCAGTGTGGACTGGTAAGAAAAAATGATCAAACATCCTGTTATTCTCAATGAATTCTCTAGGTATCAGGGTACTAAAGGTCATTACAGGTATTTAAAATGACACCGAAACACAAAAATAAAGCATTTAATATGCTATTCAAGACAGCTGTAGGGCATTTTATCACTACAAAGAGAGTTCTAAATAGCTGAAATAAAAAAGCTTCAGTTACGTAGAATATGTAGAGAACACTACAAGTAGATGGGCCCTGTTCAAGCTTTTTTTAAAAAAAGATTTTATTTATTTGTCTTTAGAGGGGAGGGGAAGGGAAGGAGAGAGGGAGAGAAATATCAATGTATGGTTGTCTCTCATGCTTCCCTTGCTGGGAACTGGCCTACAACCCAGGCATGTGCCCTGACTGGGAATGGAACCTTGATACTCTGGTTTGCAGGCCTGAGCTCAATCCACTGTGCTACACCAGCCAGGGCCCTGTTCAAGCCTTTCAATCTACTGAGAAAACACACACAGAAAGAAGAATGAACTCCCCAAGGTCACAGAGTGAGGCTAGAACCCAGGTCTCTTGTATATCTTAACCTACTCAAATATCTCACTCTGAGGGTGTATATTCAATTTGATGACAGTGTAAAATGAATCATTTTTGTTTAACATTAAAATTGAGTATTTGTATTCAAAGACAAAATTTTTTTTAAAAGGCAATTTCTTAAGCAAGTCTAAATTGTAAAATCCATTCATCAAAATTGTAAAAGACAGCAATTAGCTGAAATGTGATATACCTATCTTTGCCTACATAATTGCTTCGGGAGAAAACATTTGACCTATAACTAAATTCATGTCAAAGTAACCATTTTACTTACGGGATTTTTTTCTACATCTTGTCAAGAGAGTTCAAACACTGATAAAAAGCAACTTCTATTTTTTATTAGAAGCACACTTTTATCATGATATCAAAAATAAGTATATATAGTTTGGCAAACTCTTTAAGTAGATGCAGAAATGGTTCAACACAAAGACAGTTCTTATGTGTATACCTTTTATTTTAGAAATTCATTTAGGGCATGTTTATTTTTTAATATGTTATATTACATTGTAAGTGGATATAAGCTTTATAGCTTGTTTAAAGTATTCACTGTTTTGGACACACTTTAGGCAGTCAGTTATAATGACAGAATACAAGAATGTAATTTGAATTAAAACTGTAATGATGCTACTGTCATCATTACCAACAGCAAACTGGAGGCCATGGAAATTAAGTAAACACACAGGCATAAAACAGCATAGTAACATATTTTTCTTTTGCTCTTTTTTTGATGGTGGATAATCATAAAGGCAAGGTAGCAACTCAAGCATATCATCATTGCATTGAAAATAAAAACACTTCCTAAAATTGAATTGACCCTGAGGCAAAATCTGGTTGGGTTATAGGAAAACTTTTTAACTGATAGTGAAATCAAACTATGATAGACTACTAATTACATTCAGTCTCACTGCTAGTATCATTAGAAAGAAAACAAAGGACAAGGATCATGTTGATTGCTTAGCTTTAAATCCTGCCAAAAGAAATAACCTGAGAAGGGAAATGGCACAGACGAGTATAATTAGGAATTGTAAAAATGATCTAATACTTTTTAAAATCATCATATTTGTGAAGAAAATCCATATATACAAATGTGACTGAAAAAAAAATCTGTTCAAAACCAGAAGTCTTTTTTTTAAAATATAGTATCTATTTATATACAGTGCTGGCTTCCCCAGAGTGTTATCAAACATTAGCCTTAAGAGTCTTTTGAGGGGAAGCCAGGGTCCAAATTGGGTGATCCCGTAGACAAAGTATAGCACTGATGAAATGTACCCAATATACTTTCTGAAAATAGTCCAAAGTACGCAGATTATATTATCTATCATTAACTAAAACTGGCAGAGCAGCAGATCTGAAGCTTTGCTTTTTCTTAAACCTTTACTAAAAATCAGCCACCCCCTCTCTGACTCATATTTAGAAAGTGGGTTGATGCACTGCAGCTGTAGATCAGTATTCAACCATAGTAAGACTCACACTTCTTGTAGTCATCCTTTCTTGTGTATTGTCTCCCAGCCTAAAGTGGTCCTAAATCAGCCCACTTTAGGAAACAGGGACCTGTCAGACAAACTCTATCCACAGTGAACTGCTTGAAACATCAGAAAGTCTGTGACACTTTCTAAATTTTCATTAGGCAAGACTCATGTTCAAGATATCACTATCAGGCCATCTCTCTCACAGCTTGAAATGTTTCAGATAATGAGCCTAAGGGCAGGCTTGAAAGATAGAGTTACGGGTTTTCTACTCATTCTCTGAAAGGAAACTTTTGGAGTGATAACAGAGTCAAATAGACTGTTTTATCCACTTTAGAGTATTATGGAAAAAAAACATCTTTAGCCCCTATATAATTGTTTTCTAGAACAGGTTAGTGCCAGCTTACTACACAGTCTGCAATACGGTCTATAATTTTTCTCATTTTTTCATATGTATAAAGAGCACAGTCATCATAAGGCAAATTCAACTGATTTTCTTCCTTTAAGAGTAGCAGGGTTTGGCTGAGGTGCTGGCAACAGTTATCTACGTCAAATAACATGATATTTCGAGTATTTGGACTCCATATGACTAAACTCTGTTATAGAACATTTTTGCTTCTGTGATGTTCCCATTATGTTAACTTTTCCTAAGTCTGAGAAAAATCATATCTAATAGTACTTTCCAGTTCCTTTTGTACAAGTCAAAAGCAACGCCAAAAGTATTGTGTCCCTTTGCTGTGCATCACAGGTCAGGAATGGTAACTATTAGAATTGGAACTTGTCCACTGGCCAAAACCAGACTATTACTCGGCTAGAGCCTAACAATCTTCATTGTTTTTGATACCGCCATCTCTCTTTGGCAAGTGCCTCATCTCCTTCTCTGTCTCCTAAGTACAGAAGCCTGGAAAAGTTCACCATAGCCATTCAGACCCCGTGCGGCTGGACAGAGCAGACCTATAATCAGTGCACTTCTTTCTGAAACTGATACTGATACCATCAGTCAAGCAATGCCCAAGTCACAGTGGTCACTTCCTTTCAGTATGTGTAACCACGGAACTATGACACAATTAGGTCATGTCCCACAGAATGGAGCAGAACCCAGTCTAGAACTGCTGCCCATATTTTCAGTTCTGTGGGCGTGTTATATCCACATCGCCCTCTCAAACCACGTTATCTCCTCTCTGCCTCCAACTTGGTCCGCAGCAGCTGCGCACCGCTCGTCCCCTAGCCTTCCCCCGCCAGGCCTCTAAGTGCCCAAGGCTCCTTCCCATGGAGTCTGTGCGCACAACCGCACGTCCAAAGGGTCCCTCCGGGTCTCACGCCGGGTCCCTGGGAAACAGCCGGCTTGGGAAATGCGGTTCGGAAAGCGGCAAAAGGGCTCGATCCCGATCCCCCGATCTTTACGCCGCCGCTTCGAGAAGAACTGGACCCGTATGCACGCAACTCCACTAGTCGCCAGACAGGAAAGCCCGACACCTGGTTTCGGTTATGACTACAGGAGAAAAGAGAGGACAAGGCGAACCCGGGGGAGAGCCCCCGCCGCCGCCCCTGTGCGGTCTGGAGACCCCGACCTCAAAAAGCGGCCGCCAGTCCGCCGGCTTCTTACTCACCCACTCGCCAGCGCCGGAGCCGCCGCTGCCGCAGGCGCGGGGACCGCAACCGCAGCCCGCCCCCGCCCCGCCTCCGGCCCCGCCCCCAAGCCCGACCCTACGCCGGAGTCATTCCGGAGGACGCTTTACTGGGTTCGGCTTTGAGTTTTTCCTGTGAGATTTTATCTATTCTTTCCTTTTTCACCTTCGGCAAATACTGTGAAAGTAAGGGGAGGAGAGAAAAAGCGGAAAAATCACAAAACATTTTCGAAACTCGTATCTGTAGTCTTCTCTAAACCCCGCCTCCGGCGGGAAGGAACCGGGCAGCAAGGATGAATGACGCGTCGAGCGCCATTTTTTACGTGGGCGGAACAAGTGGTCGCGCCAAGTACCTTCATTTTTCTCGTGGGACGCGGTAATAACGTCTTGGCATTTTCGATTTGCTGTGACGTGGTCGAAGGAGGACTGAATAAGGGGGGCGGGGCTGGCATGCACTGTCCTTTTGCACACTGACGCGCTCTGTAAAAATGTTGGCCTAAGGTATTAACCGAGGTAGTGCTATTCCGTCTGGGGAGAGGCTGCCGGAACCTGAGAAAAGGAAGCGGAGCTGGTGGTTGTGAATTGTTTTGTTTGTGATTGGCACGTATTGGCGTTCAACAAGTGTTTGTTAAATGAATGTATTTTTTTCCCTATGGCACAATTAAGTACATTGTAAAGTCACACCAAATCTAGTTAGGTGATTTACTTTTCGCACAAGACACAGTAATAATTTTGTCTGCTTTACATGTAAATGTTCTCTCAAGCGTTATTTTCACACATTTAAAAACCATCTTTGCTAGTTGGACGAAGTGAGTTTTTTTTGAACCTTTGAAAAGGTACTTTACCATTTTGTTTGATGTACCGTAATACTTTTTTAAACCTCGAATTAAATCGGCCTTTGTTCTGCAATTGTCTGTATTCAGGTTATTCACTACAGAGGAGTAGCACTTAACATTTTTTTTTTATCTTTAAAAATCACCCAGCACATCTTTATTACTCACCAAGGAAGAAAGGGAGGAATAAAAACAGAAATGACTCCCTCAGACATAGAAATAGATCCCCTGCCCACTGACATATGCTTATAACGTCAAATAGCTACCGATCATCTGGTTCCTGCTGTGTGTTTGGTGTTCTGCTTCTCAGTTTACATGAAGGGTTATGCCTTATCCCCAACATATTTAGGATATGTATAGTGTCACCCCGGTTTTACAGAGAATGTAACTGGCATTCAGAGACATTAAATTATTTACCTAAAGGCGCCTAGCTGGCAGCACCAGAGCCCAGAGAGTCCTGGGGACACCAGTGTGCCCTGAGTTGCTTACATCCTTTCTCGGATGATACCTAGTCGGGGATATATTAACACCCCTACTTCAGGGTAAGACTGGGACTGGATAAAGTGCCTTGGAGCAGACTGGTGCACCAAGAAGAGTTTTTCTACCTCAAGATTTTGCGTAGAGGCAAAACAGTTTTCTTTCATTCTCCAACAGGTTTCTGGTTTTCTGCAATATCAATCCAGAACAACTATGTCTCCTAAGAGAAAAATAACAAAACACCCAGGCCTAAATTCTCCGTGACCATAAGAAATAAAATATACAGCCATACCTCAGTACTTGTTGGCTTCAGAATTCGTCAAACCCTGTACTTTTGCATTTTGATGTGAAAAAAAAACGTTTCAACATTCAGACCTTGCTCTAGACTTGTCACACTTGCTAGAACTTGTATGAGTTACTAAAATGCTTCATTGTTTGTCACTCATCATGAGTTCTGGAACAAATTAACAATGAGTACCGAGGTACAACTGTATAAAGAAAGTGGCTCTGTATGCATGATGCTTTGTAGCTAGTGAACATGAATATTTTCCCCACATCTAATCAAACAATCATTTAGTTATGTAGCAGTAGCTTGTATGTCTTTCGATAGATCAGATCAAAAAAATTGCAAGGGGGAAAAAGTAATCATGACTTAATATTGTGGTCCATAGTGCATGTAAGTCCAAATGTGTAAACGGGAGGATAAATTCTAGCACTCATCCCCTTTTCAGGAAACCAAAGAGAAAATGATATAAGTATGCAGTAATGTCATCCATATTAGCAATACTAAAGGATGACTTGAGGGGTTTAACACTTCTCCCCTCCCAACTCTGTTAATCGGCCCAAATAAATCACCCCAAAGGACTGTACCATCTAAGTTAAAATGGGTTTTTCTATTGAAATATATCTTCAGGCAAGAGCCCTAATGCCCCATTTCCAAGCAGAGCAATACCCTTAAAGTCTCTACTTGGAAATTTTTGAGCTGTCTACCTTTCCACCCACTTATAATTAATTAGTAATCATACACAAATGCTCTACAACTAGTGAGCAGTGAAACAGATGGTTAAAAACCTGGGCTCTGGGATCAGAGCTGGAGTAAGTATTGTCTCTGCCTATGGGACAGTACTTCTCCATACCTCAGTTTCCTTAGCTGCAAAATGCAAGCAGAGTAATTTTTCACAGGGTTGCTGTGAGGAGCACCTGAAATCAAGCAAGTTAAGAATTTAAACCAAATGCATCAAGAAATGGTGGCGCTAATCTCAATTGTTAGTAACTATGCAGGAATAACAGAAGCAATAACAAATGACTTATAAACATCTTAAACTGTATGCCTATTTATAATTCCAATAAGTATAATATCAGAACTTAGGGAACCTTGTTGATACATCACAAATGTCAGTTATTATGATGAAGCCTTTTCTGAATCATCTGTTTATTTCAGAAATGTATTATGTGCTGCTTCAGAGCTGGAGCTGAGGACTTGTTGATTACCTCCCAATGTTTACCAAGATTACAACAAATTATATTTAACTGGACTGGCTCGTGAATGATTTAATGTTAGACATGGATGAGAAATATTGCTGTATAAACCACAGTGAGTTTAATTTCTTTTGAGTAATGAGATTTTGTGTGGTTGCCTTCATCATTGCAAACTTATCAATATAAACTTTGTGGTGCATTACCTTTTGGTTGGATTATAGTACATTGAGTTGGAATCTTGGTTCCTGGATATATAAAGTTAGTTCTGTGAGCTAGCTTTATAGAAATGGTTTAGATAGCTCTAGTGGGTCTATATCTGGAGCTAATAGTCTGTAGTTCTAATGATGCACGAGGTAGGTAACAGCTCTGAAAGAGAGCATCACTGGAGACTCCTGACTGTATGAACAGTGAGCCAGTAAGTTTCTCAAAGAGAGGAGTCACACCTCCCCATCAGGTATTAACTTGTGTTCCTTCCAAGTTGGTGCTTTGCACCTCAAAAAGCAACAGCTGTGAGTGATTTTAAGTCCCAAAATAAAGCGTCCCCAAAGGGAGGAAATTGCTAGCTCTCTGCAGCATCGTAAAACAGCACAGCAAAAAGAGAGCAAGAAGTAGGGAGACAAATCAGCATTTTCAAAAACCTTAGGATCATTAGTTAATTTTTTAAAGAGGAAAGCAGATTTTGAAGTTGTATCTTAACAAGTTGGTCATAACATGACTGAATTTATATGCAGTCAACCGTGCATATTGATGGTTTTGGTGCCTGAGTCATGCTGAGTCTTGGCAGATGAGTGACCGTGCTCTCAATGTCAATGACTCCCTCTCAGAGCCATATACTTCCCAGACCCACCTCAGAATATCTCCTTGTGCTTATCTGCCTATGGTGTGGTTTCTGCTCTCCTTGCAACTCTCAGTATTTTTTTTTCATTTATACTTATACTTTATTCTATTTACTCACATGCTGCTTTGTAAGTAGTTTTTTAGTTTAGTACTAGTAGTTCTTTAGGTCTTTAGTCAACTAAACAACTACTGTGTAACTTCTGCCCTCTCAACTCTCTCACAGGCTATTTGAGACCCAGGACAGTTTGCTTACAATTTCACCTTCTGACTCCTTTGTTTTTAGCACATAGCAGATGATTGGCAAATGCCAGGTGGCTTTTAAAAACTTACTCCAACTACTAAGAATTAGTATTCTTAACACCAGGTTCCTGAGATCCAAGTGCTTCTTTTGAAAATAGCTTTTGTCTATATGTAAGAGTTTGGGTCACTTTTTTAAGGATCGGGGGTCACTCTGATTCAAAGTGGGTGAGGCACGGAACTCATCTCTCTTTTGTCGTGTGTATAATCTATCCCATCTTCCTTCTCCACACTCTTTCTTTAATTCATCAAAGAAATGTAAAACCACAACTAATGTTTCTGGGCCATTCTCAGGTCACTTAGTTTTAAAATGTTTTGACATCTGAGGACTTTCAACATCAACTTTTTTTCTTCTTTCTTCCAAATTATCTTGACAGACTTGGCCCATTTTCCTCCATGTGAATGTAAGGACTGACTGGCCTGTGAAATTCCACAAATAACCTTTGCAAGATTTTCACTGGAGTTGCATTGAATTTATAGATCCATTTGATGTCTTTCTACCTACTTCTATTAACTTACTTACTTTTTTTTTTTTTTTTTGGTCCCCTATGCAACCACACACATTTATAAAAGCACCAGAAAAGCTCCATAAGAGAAAAAGAGAACTTACTTACTTCTATTACTTACTATTAACTTCTCTTACTTTTGTTAATTAGGTTTTATAATTTTCTCAGAAAAAAACAATTCACACCTTTTGTAATATATTCCCAAGTTATATTTAGATTGCGCTGCTATTGAAAATTGTGTCATCTAAAAATGACATTTTAAGTTATTTGTTGCTAGTTGAGTCACACCAGTTTTGTATTTGCATCTTGTATTTGGTAATCTTGATAACTGTAAATAATGTAAATAACTTGCTTGTAAATAATGAAAACAACAGCAAAAACATTCCCAATGAAACAAAGATGTAATCCCCAAACTAAAGAATACTAATCATTTCATTCTCATGTTCTTCAACTTTCAGAAGCTGCAAATTTTCTGTAGCATCTAGCGTCCTCAGCATGACTCTGAAGGCTCTCCACAACTTGATTACAGCTGACTTTTCAAGGCTTCATTTTTACTCCCCTTCCTCCTTGTACCCTACAAATCCGGGAGTGTTTACTGCTCTGTAACCACTCACATAGCTCTCTCAGCCTGGAGTGCTCTTACTGTCCCTCTGTGTGAGGAAGTCTTCAGCTACATGTTGCCTCATCCAAGAAGTCTTCTTAGATGTCCCCTGGTGGAAGCAATGTATCATTCTATTGTGCACCCTTAATCTCCATTATTAAAATAAAAACCAAACTCTTTGTTTTTATAATCTACATTTTTGAAAACAATAATGGTCGTATAATATAGAAGCTATTAGAGATGGTTGCAGGATTTAAAAGCATCAGTTTTAGGCTTGGATCAACCTAGGCTTGAATCCAGCTCAACCACTTTGTAACCTTCGGGAGTTACTTAACATCTTTGAATCTCAATTTTGTCCTTTTGAAAATGGGATCGCTTTGAGGATTAAAGGGGGTGCTCGAGGTAAAACGTTTACCCTGATACTTGCCACATGGTAATTGCTTGTTAAGGTTGGCTACTATTGTCAGATGGTACAAACTCATTGTATGTTTGTTGACTAAGTTTATTCCTAGTTTACAGATGAAGATATTAAGAAGGCAAGTAAAAGAAACTTGCTCAGGTTGATATCTTTAGCTTGGGGCAGATCTGTAACTAACAACTTTGGTTACTACCAGGTGAAAGCTTTTTCTGCTTTATCCACATAGGTGCAGGTAAGTCTTAATCTCCTCACTCGACTGCTTCCTGAGGACAAGGACCTTGTCTGATTTACCCTTGTCTGTCCTTCACCTCTAAGCATAATGTCTTGCTTATGTTAGATCTTTAAAAAATTTTTTAAATTTAATTATTGTTCAAGTACAGTTTTCTATCTTTTACTCCCATCCCAGCCCACCCCCCAGTGCTCCCCACCTCCCTCCCATTTCCTCCCCCCTTGGTTGTTGTCCATGTGTCCTTTTACTAGTTCCTGTAAATCCTATATAGGGTTCTATATATATCAGTTAAGTCCATTTCATCTAGGATGTTGTTCAATTCCACAATATCTTTGTTGATTTTTTGTTTGGAAGATCTGTCCATTTTTGATGGTGGGGTGTTAAAATCCACAACTATAATTGTGTTGCTGTCAATACTGTTCTTGAAGTCCTCTAAAATTTTCTTTATATATTTGGGTGCTCCTATGCTGGGTACCTATATATTTACAATGTTTATGTCTTCTTGGTGGATTCTTCCCTTTTCCCCCTGAAATTCCCTCCCCTTTCCCTTCTGGTCACTGTCCCCCTATTCTCTATTTCAGTGTCTTTGTTTTTATTTTTCTTGCTTGTTTGTTTTGTTGCTAGCTTCCTTTAAAGGTGAGATCATATGGTATTTCTCTTTAAACACCTGGTTTATTTCACTCAGCGTAATGCTTTCCAGCTCCATCCATGCTGTTGCAAAGGGCAGGAGCTCTTTATTTCTTTCTGATGCATAGAATTCCATTGTGTATATGTACCATGGTTTTTTGATACATTCATTTACTGATGGGCACCTAGGTTGCTTCAAGCTCTTGGCTATTGTAAATTGTGTTACTATGAACATTGGGGTGCATAAGGTCTTTTGGATTGGTGCTTTAGGGTTCTTAGGATATACTCCCAGCAATGGAATTGCCGGGTCAAAAGGCAGGTCCATTTTTAGTTTTCTGAGAAAATTTCATACTGTTTTCTACAGTGATTGTACCAGTCTGCAATCCCACCAACAATGGATTAGGGTCCCCTCTTCTCCACGCCCTCTCTAATGCTTGTTTGTTGCTTTGTTTATGATGGCCATTCTAACCAGTGTAAAGTGATATCTCATTGTGGTTTTAATTTGCATCTTTCTGATAGCTAGTGATATTAAGCATCTTTTCATGTGTCTCTGGATTTCCTGTATGTCCTCCTTGGAGAAATGTCTGTTCAAGCCCTTTGCCCAATTTTTAATTGGGTTGCTTGTCTTCTTGGAGTGGAGTCGTGTAAGTTCTTTGTATATTTTGGAGATTAAACCCTTGTCTGAGGTATCATTGGCAAATATGTTCTCCCATACAGCTGGATCTCTTTTTATTTTAATACTGTTTTCTTTAGCTGTGCAAAAGCTTTTAATTTTGATGAGATCCCATTTGTTTATTCTTTCCTTTATGTCCCTTGCTCTAGGGGACATATCAGTAAAAAATGTTGCTGCCTGAAATATCTGAGATTTTCCTGCCAATGTTCTCCTCTAGGACTTTAATGGTGTCACAGCTTATATTTAAGTTTTTTATCCACCTTGAATTTATTTTGGTGTATAGTGTAAGTTGGTGCTCCGGTTTCAGTTTTTTTTTGCACATAGCTGTCCAGTTCTCCCAACACCATTTGTTGAAGAGGCTATTATTAGTCCATTTTGGGTTGCTGCCCCCTTTGTCAAATATTAATTGGCCACAGATGTTGTGTACCACTCTGCCTGGTTTCAGGAATTGTAGCTCTCTGCCCCTTGTGGCTTGAGGATGAGTGAGCAACTACCTCTGGACTGTGAGCCACAGGAGACAAAGCTTGTCTCTGGTAGCAAACGCTGCCTCAGTTCCTCTCCCTGTCCCCAAAGCTTGGTCGAATGTCAATGATGGGTAAGACCCCTCACAGCAGGGGGCAACCTAACCTAGACTCAATCACTAGAGAGGCCTTCATGGAAGGACTCACGGGGCTGCAACAAAGAGCAATGAACTCTCGCTCCCTGGCTTTGACAAAGCCAGAGTCCCCAGGTCTTCTGGGAGACTTATAACCTCCTGGCTATAATCCCCTTAAGCCTGAATACCTGTTGGGGAGAGGTGCAGCTCCTGCCTTGCTAGAGCATGTCCTGGGGGGAAATCTGGCATCACAAAGACTTCCCGATAAACCTGTGAAATCTACTCTGCCAAGAGTGCTTTCATTCATGTGCTAAGGGTCGGAGAGGAAATTAGTATCTCTCCCAAAGTTTTTTCACCTGTCTTCCTGACAGACAGTGACTCTGAGGCCCTCAGATTTCTTTGTAATGTTATGTACTGTTTGATCCTTGCCGCCCTGTATTCTTGTGTGTTACAACCCAATAAAAGGCTATGGAAGAGGGCGCTCGGGGCCTTTTTCTCCACAGAGAAACTGGCTGCTGCTGGCCTTTGTCTCCCCTGAGAAACTGGCCACAGCCCACTCCTCATCCCCAAACAGATCTCAGCATGTCTCGGCCATATTTATTCATTCACGCGTGTCTGTGGCACCAGGGGGACTTGGGGAGAAGTTGCCCCCACACATAGAGATTTGGGTTTATTTCTGGGCTCTCTGTTTTGTTCCATTGGTCTATGTGCCTGTTTTTAAGCCAGTACCAGGCTGTTTTGACTACAGTGGCCTTGTAATACAGTTTGGTATCAGGTATTGTGATCCCTCCTACTTTGTTCTTCTTTCTCAAAATTGAGGCTGCTATTCGGGGTCATTTGTGGTTCCATATAAATTTTTGAAGTGTTTGTTCTATGTGAAGTATGTCATTGGTACATTAATATGTATTGCATTGAATGTGTAAATTGCTTTGTGTAGTATGGACATTTTGATGATTTTAATTCTTCCGGTCCATAAACGTGGTATATGTTTCCATTTGTGTCTTCCTCGATTTCTTTCTTCCGTGTTGTGTAGTTTTCTGAGTACAGGTCTTTTACCTCCTTGGTTAGGTTTATTCCTAGGTATTTTATTTTTCTTTTTTCTATATCGAATGGGATTTTTTTCTTGATTTCTGCTTCTGCTGCTTCATTGTTAGTATACAAGAATGCCTTTGATTTCTGGATATTGACTTTGTATCCTGCTGTTTTGCCAAATTCATGTATTAGCTCGAGCAGTTTTTTGGTAGAGTCTATAGGATTTTCCATGTACACTATCATGTCATCTACAAACAATGACAGTTTTGTTTCCTCCTTTTCATTTTGGATGCCTTTTATTTCCTTTTCTTGCCTGATCGCTGTGGCTAAAACTTCCAATACTATATTTAATAGAAGTGGTGAAAGTGGACAACCTTGTCTTGTTCCTGATCTTAGTGGAAATGATCTTAGTTTTTGCCCAGTGAGTATGATGTTGGCTGTAGGTCTCTCATATATGGTCTTTATTATATTGAGGAATGCTCCATATTTCCACTTTGCTAAGTGTCTTTATCATAAATGTGTGTTGTACCTTATCAAAAGCTTTTTCCACGTCTATTGATATGATCATATGGTGTTTGTCTTTGCTTTTGTTTCTGTGATGTATTACAATTACTGATTTGTGAATATTGAACCATCCTTGCATCCCTGGGATGAATCCCACTTGGTCATGGTGTATGATCTTTTTGATGTACTGTTGGATGCGATTTGCCAATATTTTGTTGAGGATTTTAGCATTTGTGTTCATCAGTGATATTGACCTGAAGTTTTCTTTCTTTGTTGTGTCTCTACTGGTTTTGGAATTAAGTTGATGCTGGCTTCATAAAAAGAATTTGGGAGTTTTCCATCCTTCTGAATTTTTTGGAATAGTCTGTGAAAAATAGGGGTTAGCTCTTCCTTAAATACTTTGTAGAATTCTCCTGTGAAACCATCTGGGCCAGGGCTTTTGTGTGACGGGAGTTTTTTGATTACTGCTTCAATTTCATCTGCTGTTATTGGTCTATTCAGGTTTTCTGCTTCTTTTTCATTGAGTTTTAGAAGATTATATTTTTCCTAGAAATTTGTCCTTTTCACCTAGGTTTTCAAATGTCTTGGCATGCAGTTCTTCATAGTAATTTCTTACAATCACTTCTATTTCTGTGGTATCAGTTGTAATCTCTCCTCTTTCATTTCTGATTGTGTTTATTTGGGTCCGTGCCCTTCTTTTCTTGATGAGCCTACTTAAAGGCTTGTCTATTTTGTTTATCTTTTCAAAGAACCAACTCCTGGATTCATTGATTTTTAGAATTGTGTTTTTAGTCTCTATGTCATTTAATTCTGCTGTGATCTTGGTTATTTCCTTCCTTCTCCTTGCTCTGGGCTGTCTTTGTTGTTGTTCCTCGAGCTCTTGCAGGCGTAGGGTTAGGTTGTTTGTTTGAAATGTTTCTATCTTCTTTGGGTAAGCCTGTATTGCTATGAACTTCCCTCTCAGGACTGCCTTGGCTGTGTCCCATAAGTTTTGGGTTCTTGTGAGTTCATTTTCATTTGTTTCCAGAAACTTTTTGATTTCTTCCCTAATTTCATTC